CTTGAAATGACACATGAAGTAACATGGACTCATGTCAAATGAGGAGAGGTCATTTCTCACCCCAAGCCAAGGGATATTTATTCCCTTGGGCAGATCAAATGAGATGAGGCTAGTCATTCGTGCAAAGGGGCGATCACTGCAGCAAGGGAGCAAGCGAGAATTTTAGGGAGAGTTATGGGGAGTTTTCTCATCTTCCTCGAGGAGAAGCCAAGAGAGCCTTTTTTTCCTTCTTCTTCTTCTCCTCCTTCCTGTTTCTAATCACCTCCACCTTCTTCTTCTGCCTCTCCAACGAGGAGAGCATCCTCCTGACTTGGGGTAAGGAGAAATCTGGTGGTTTCATCATCCTTTCGAAAAGGATAACTTCTTCACCACTTTGGGGGAAGAAGAGTGGCGGCTTTGTCATCCTCACCTTGAAGGAGCTTAGACAAACCCAAAAAATGCGTCATCAACCACTGTGTCCGTGAGATTTCTCATACCTTCGTTCTTCTCTAAGCTTTGTGTTAGAGAAGATAGGCTAGGTTTTGTGCTAGAGGGAGCCCCATAAGTTAGGAGCATTTTTTGTCTCCCTTATGAACCCTTGAGAGCCCCTACAAATAATCTTAGTCCTTACCTGTGTCCGGGGCAACAACAATCCAATGGTTTTCTAGCGGCCTCAACTCTCTTTGAATGGGTTGAAGCCATTTTGGCCTATAAAACGAGAAAACCCCCTTTTGATTCTCGTTTCTTTGGCCATGAATTTGAGATCCACGATGAAATATTATTTTCATGAAGGTTTTCTCTCATGAAAATTTCCTTCACCTCATGTTGGACAATTAGAGGTAGGTTGATTTGTTATGTTGCGTAATGAACCGGTAGCTACGACATCATCTAAGCCATAGATCCTCGTGAGAACATTAAGGCGAGCTCGATCCGTCGTTGAACACGATCGATCTAACATCACGCATGTGTTTGCATTCAAGTTGTTTGCTTAGCATGATTTAAATTTTGCATAAAAAATATCTTTTTTTTGCATGTGTTGTCGATCGTCTGCCTACATCGACTGACTCGATCGACTTTCTTTCTGTATGCTTGATTGATTGGCCGCCATCGACTCGATCGGCTTGATCAACCATTTTCATCTGATCAATAGATTAACTGCCACAGGCTCAATCTGCTCGATCGACTCTTTTTTTTGTTGTGTCTATCGATCGTCCTCCACCAGCTTGATCACATCGATCGACCACCTCCATCGACTCGATTGGCGGTCGCCACTGACCATATTGCATCGATCAACCACTTTCAATCCATCAATCAATTAATTTCAATCGAATGTCTCTTTGTTGTCTATTGTGCACTTGTGAGCATATACCATCATATGCTTATAACCATTATTTGCGCCTCAACAAATATACATACTTTATTGATGTTCAATAATATTTAAAAAATAGCACCCAAAATATTGATAATTACAAATAAAAATAGCACCTAACCAAGTTCATTTTATAATTTTAATAAAAAAATAAAAAAAAAATTATCATTAAAAAATAACATACGAAAGTTGAAGCATATCAATAGAATTCATCTAATATTTAATGTAATTTATATATAATATACTATTCTAATAAGGTAAAATATCATTTTCAGAATAAGCCCTATAATTTATAATTTATTCATTCATTTGTGTGTGCGTGTTTATATATATTACATAGCCCTATATTTATTTCAATACTATATATATATATATATACATATTAGTTCTGAGATTTCTTATGTTAAAGGGCGGAGATTTGGCAATGTTGAGATTGCAAGCTTTCGGCCAATCACCATCGCTTGCCCCGCACGCAGCCAAGCAATTAATATACCAATTAACTCCACATTTCTATGTGTACTATGCGTCATGATATAGTATTTTTAATTTGATTTTTTTGGATTTTTAATTGGATTTATTGGAATTTTATAAAATATATTCTATGTCTGCTATGCATCATGAGTCATAATTATGTACACTTTTAATTGTCGTTTGACTTGTTTATTTATTGAATTAAATTGAGATATTTGAGAGTATGTTTCGATACATCACCAAATAAATATATTTATTCGTACAAAATTGATGCAATACAATCAAATTTCAATGGCACAAACTCAACGACATTATAAGTGTTCTCTTTCAAATGAAGTCAGCATAAAATAACTATTCAAAATATAAGAATTTTTTATATTATTTAAGAGATTAAATGATCTACAAATCATAGGTGTTTATAGATATTGTGTGCTAGAAGATTTTCAATTGGAGAGAAATTTTACGTCTTAGCTCAGTGTTTTCTACTACAACGGCATTTATAGATGGAAGAAACAATCAATTTTTTACGTGAAAAAATCTTGAAAAAGAAAAAAAACTAGAAAGATCGACCCAGTCATAATAATTCACTTTGAAATTAAACGTGTAGTTGTCCACTGTTCTCCTAAATTAGAATGCTAAGATTACAAACACTGAAATCATAGTTTGGCTACAATAATCATACATAATTGAGGTCGAAGAGTTGGAGTTAGTGGATACATTTCACTCATAATATAAAGCCTTTGTTGGAACTGCGGAATCCCTAGATCCGGGAAGAGCCGGCTACGGGAGATGGCTAGGAGCAGATCAACCAGGAATTCATAGAGCTGATTGAAGAGGTAGACTTCATAGACCAATTAAGTATACTAAACATTCTCTTTATCTGCCACCCTATCTATATAAGAAAAAAGTATATTTCAATTCTTAAAAGTTCAAATAGTTGAAATGGAATGCAAATAATTGTGCGGTATAAATGTTACAAATAAAGATTTAAGTGTTAGATATGTAAATATCAAATTGAGTGGTATGCATGTAAATGCTTCATTTTAAAATGGGGGGTTTTTACATACATTGCATCCCAAACATTTTTATTCCCTTATTTCACGCTTCAAATTCTTAATTTACAAAAAACTTGTTAAAAATACTTAATTTATGAATTGATGCGTGCTAGAAAATTCGTGGCGGTAGAGTAATGAATTATCGTCTTAGTATTGCGCGATGATTCAACACACATTCAGATGAAAATGAATCAAATTGTGATGATACCAGAAGTTTTTACATGGAAAACCCATAAAGAGAAAAAACTACAAGGTCTGACCCAACTATAAAAATCCACTATAAGTCGACGATTACATAGTCTCCTTTGTCCCACAGACGGGAAATGATTATTAGATTTTTCAAGGTACAACGTCGGCTAACGCCGTGTAGTTGGCGGTGATCGACGGTAGTCAACGACAATCGATTACGGTCGGTGGTGGTCGACGGAAGTCGACAGTGGTCGCAGACGGTCGGTGGTCGACGGAGGTCAGCGATGATCGGCAGTGGCCAGCGGTGGTCGATGGAAGTTAGCGGTGGCAGAGATGATGTTGGACCTCTGGACTTCTCTCCCTTCATGTGAAGGGTGGGGGTTTATTTATAATGTTATGGGTGCAATTAATGCAGTAATATTAATCATTTTGATCGGACGGTCCAGAGAGCTTCCTTTGATCAAGCGACGTTTGATGGACATTTTAGTGCCTTAACGATGTCGAAATTGAGCAATCTTTGGCTCATTGGATTCATCTTGTCGAGACGCTCGATTCGACTATGAACTTGCTAAATTCGACATATGTTTTACCTTTCAAATGCCTTCGAAAATCCTCCAAGAGTGATTTAATGATTTGATCCGGGCTTGATTTGACTCAGATTGGACTGACTTTCATATCATTAGGTCCGTCTCATCGAGCCGGTCATTTTGCCTATAAATTTGCTGAAGTCAGAGCTCTGGATGACTTTATCAATATTTGAATATTTCTTGTTCAAAATATTGTCTCGAGATTCGTGTTGGATGATGAAAATTTGTTGGTGCCTATTATGAATAATGCACTTTCGCCACGCTCCATATTTTATTTTTTATATAAATGATACATGAAAAAATTATATATTTTACTTTTTTTTAATTGAAATAGTGATGATGAAATAACAATGACTCGGCGTATACATGTTAAAAATAAAATCAAGTGTTAGATGTGTAAAATACATTTGTGTTGAGGGGTATATTAGGTATAAAATGTGATTTTTACCTAAACACAACAAACTTCTTATTTACGCATTCGACGCTCCTAATTTTTAATTTAGGAATAAAGCACGTATGTCACCTCCATCACGTCCGTTAAGTCCGTTACAACTTTTCACAAGCTCATCTCTCCCGCATCGTCGTCTCCGTTAATCATTGGTTTCAGTCGGGAGAGAGTCAACGTAACTAACCGAAATCGATGTCTGTCGGGCGGCTCTTTCAGCAGGGTAGAGCTCGGAGCTCGTCACCAGCTAATACTTGGGATGGCGGAGGCGGCAACGTGGAGGCTAGTAGCACGACAAAAATGATTATTGCAAAACATGGAGGATGAAGGAGCAGACAAAAGAAGAATAGTTAATAGTTTTCTTAGTTTTTTTGTTTTTTTTTCTGTACGTAATGAAGAAAGTTGTAAACTACCAAGAGAGCTTTGTAATTCAGTACCTTGCCGGCTTGGCGAGAATAGCCGCATCGGATTCAAGTCGACGGCGGAGGAGGTCAACGAAGCTTTGCCAGACCTTTTGTTGAGGCTGTGACGGACAAGAGGTGTAAATAAGTCAGAGTTGCATTGGAGTCATGCCAAGTTCAAGCTTGGCTCGTCTGTCTAATTGTAAGCTCGAGCTCGAGTTAGCTCCAACTAAAAACTCAATTTCAAGAGGAGCTTATCGGAGAAGATATTGATGGCCGGGGGAGTAAGAGGATGCCGTGGCATACTAGAGAAAAATTTGTAGAAATGACTACAATTAGACTAATTGAGCCAATGAGTTAATTGAGCTAATGAATATAGTCAAGATGAGCTCGAGCTCGTGGCTTGATAAACTTACTCACGAGCCCATTACAGATGTGATAGGAGGTGTTTATTTTTATAATATGATTATACATAAAAATCTAGAGAACTCGGTGATATAATCATTTAAAATGTCGGATTGATGGAGTAAAAACCTAACTTTTCTGCGTTCGAAAGTGTCTTCTGCATAATTGAAAAAAGTTGCTCCTCGGCCCAGATCCTGCGTGTCACCGTTCTCCACTTCGCTGGTCTCTCAAGTCAGACCGTGTTTCCTTCATTTCCGAGGTAGATAGATATTTCGGCTCCACACACTATCTCTTTCTCGGTAGAGACTTTGATCCTCGGTGCTGTGACGAGTAGGAATGGCGGCCGGTGGCGATAAGATTGACTACGTTTTCAAGGTGGTGTTAATCGGGGACTCGGCGGTCGGGAAGTCTCAAATCCTAGCTCGGTTTGCTAGAAACGAGTTCAGCCTCGACTCCAAGGCCACCATAGGGGTCGAGTTCCAGACGCGGACCCTTGTCATCCAGCACAAGAGCGTCAAGGCTCAGATCTGGGATACTGCCGGTCAGGAAAGGTATTACTCTGCACTCTCGCTCTCATACATAGCTCTGAAAGCCCTGCTAGTTCGTTTAGATCTGGTGTTCCATGGCACTCTGGTGTATCCCCTGTGGTTCGTAGTGCGTCTTCTTGTCACCACTCTGCATCGATGCTGCGTCTGGCTGCTTGTTGAACTACTTGAACATTTATTGGATGAATTTGTTGTCTTCTTTCTTATCTGGCATGAGTTTTGATTGTTCAATGTGCAGCATGGTGATCCTGAACGCTCATACAGTTACATTATTGCATTTCCCTAAATTTGGGAATAACCCTAGCCGCTTATGATGCGATTGGGCTTAGTTAACAATTTTTTTATTTTGGTTGCTGGGTTCTAATGGCTTATAGCGAATTTCTCTGAATATATATGTATATATATATATATGTATATATATA